GTACAAATTACCTCGACTAACCTGTAACCCCACACATTGACTCTGTACTGATACCCCCTGTATATAGCCTCGTTATTGTTATTTATTGTGTTACTTTTTATTTTATTTTTTACTTTAGTTAATTTAGTAAATATTTCTTAACTATTTCTTGAACTCCATTGTTGGTTAAGGCCTTGTAAGTAAGCATTTCCCGTAAAGGTCTACACCTGTTGTATTCGGCGCATGTGACAAATAAGATGATCATTTGATTTGAGACTCGAATCCACAGAGACTTGCACAGTGCTCTACGGTGGTCGTCTTATTTTCGTCCTGGCTCTGTAATACCTTGTTAATGCACAAGGTGCCAGGACTTTGGTGAAGATACTGAAATTCAATATGTTAAGACAGTCCTTCCATGTCCTTACTGCTCAGTGTAGAAGTCAACAAGGTGCTATATGATAAACAGTGCAAGGTGTGAAGACTGTGCAGAAGTAGATATATTTTATGTACCACTCAGTGCAGTATATGATTAAATAAAACAGTGGGTCAGGTCCCATTCATGAGTTTTTAGACAAAAGGGTGGGCAGCCAGAAGGTTTTTCAGGCCACACTGCCTGGTCTTTAAATGCCTGTTAGGTTGACATCCGTGTGTAGGCATATCTGAGAGGAGGGGGGCTCTGCGCAAGTGCTGTGGGGAGATAAGGGAGTTGCGGTTTCAAGCATGGGTGGAGGTTATCGTTTTTGGGCTGTTCATGGGCCTCCATATTTAGGCTGAAAACAAAACGTGCAGGCAGCGCAACCTGGCGTTAACCTCACTGAATTTCTTACTCTCCAAAAAACATACCGGTAATTGATTCAGACCCAGAGAAAAGAGAAACATAGAAAGAAAAAGGAAGAGGAAGATGGACAGAAAAACAAACCCTGCTGATATTTCTTCATATCATTGGTCACCTAAAACGTCACCCTCTTAATCATCATGTGAGCAGTGTTCAGGACGGTGTGCAGTGGCAGAGAGCGGTATGTGGCCGAGGTCCCCAGGTGATAGTGAGTATCTAAACACATGTTCCCAGGGGTAAGGGCTGCTAAATTCATTACCTGTCTCTACATGATCCCCAACCCTAAGCCTCTTCCCAGCTCCCATTCCCATTGGGTTCAGATGGCCCTGCTTGTACAGTGGCTGGCCCAGCTGCTGGCTTGGATAAATTCCAGTATGAGTAGCATTTACTCCCTCCCCTTTCAGTCACATATAAAGACCCCTCTTCATTGGTGGCAGATCATTTGCATTACCAGAGGGCCTCTTTTCATTCTGCTGTGTGCGACATACTTTTAATGAAGCGCACAGTTGAGTAGTGTGTAGACACAGGAATTGAGAATGTATAATTCTTTGTATATCTTCAATATGATCCAATCAAATTGTATTTGCTTACCGGTATATACTGTATAACTACAATGTACAAAGAAAAACAATACTTTCTTATTGTAAAAACTTAGGGTTAGGATTGGTTGGTAATGGACTGTATTTTTACGTTGGTCTACCCAGGTGGTACGTCTATGAGAACACATGAGATGGAGGTACAGTTGAAATTCTATAAATGTTTCCAAAGGTCAAAGACAAGGAAAATAACTTGCACCAACAAAGAACTGAAATTACAGTGAGGGAAAAAAGTATTTGATCCCCTGCTGATTTTGTAAGTTTGCCCACTGACAAAGACATGATCAGTCTATAATTTTAATGGTAGGTTTATTTGAACAGTGAGAGACAGAATAACAACAGAAAAATCCAGAAAAACACATGTCAAAAACATTATAAATTGATTTGCATTTCAATGAGGGAAATAAGTATTTGACCCCTCTGCAAAACATGACTTAGTACTTGGTGGCAAAACCCTTGTTGGCAATCACAGAGGTCAGACATTTCTTGTAGTTGGCCAGCAGGTTTGCACACATCTCAGGAGGGATTTTGTTCCACTCCTCTTTGCAGATCTTCTCCAAGTCATTAAGGTTTCGAGGCTGACGTTTGGCAACTCGAACCTTCAGCTACCTCCACAGATTTTCTATGGGATTAAGGTCTGGAGACTGGCTAGGCCACTCCAGGACCTTAATGTGCTTCTTCTTGAGCCACTCCTTTGTTGCCTTGGCCGTGTGTTTTGGGTCATTGTCATGCTGGAATACCCATCCACGACCCATTTTCAATGCCCTGGCTGAGGGAAGGAGGTTCTCATCCAAGATTTGACGGTACATGGCCCCGTCCATCATCCCTTTGATGCGGTGAAGTTGTCCTGTCCCCTTAGCAGAAAAACACCCCCAAAGCATAATGTTTCCACCTCCATGTTCGACGGTGGGGATGGTGTTCTTGGGGTCATAGGCAGCATTCCTCCTCCTCCAAACACGGCGAGTTGAGTTGATGCCAAAGAGCTCGATTTTGGTCTCATCTGACCACAACACTATCACCCAGTTCTCCTCTGAATCATTCAGATGTTCATTGGCAAACTTCAGACGGCCCTGTATATGTGCTTTCTTGAGCAGGGGGACCTTGCGGGCGCTGCAGGATTTCAGTCCTTCACGGCGTAGTGTGTTACCAATTGTTTTCTTGGTGACTATGGTCCCAGCTGCCTTGAGATCATTGACAAGATCCTCCCGTGTAGTTCTGGGCTGATTCCTCACTGTTCTCATGATCATTGCAACTCCACGAGGTGAGATCTTACATGGAGCCCCAGGCCGAGGGAGATTGACAGTTATTTTGTGTTTCTTCCATTTGCGAATAATCGCACCAACTGTTGTCACCTTCTCACCAAGCTGCTTGGTGATGGTCGTGTAGCCCATTCCAGCCTTGTGTAGGTCTACAATCTTGTCCCTGACATCCTTGGAGAGCTCTTTGGTCTTGGCCATGGTGGAGAGTTTGGAATCTGATTGATTGATTGCTTCTGTGGACAGGTGTCTTTTATACAGGTAACAAACTGAGATTAGGAGCACTCCCTTTAAGAGTGTGCTCCTAATCTCAGCTCATTACCTGTATAAAAGACACCTGGGAGCCAGAAATCTTTCTGATTGAGAGGTGGTCAAATACTTATTTCCCTCATTAAAATGCAAATCAATTTATAACATTTTTTACATGCGTTTTTCTGGATTTTTTTGTTCTGAATGTTATTCTGTCTCTCACTGTTCAAATAAACCTACCATTAAAATTATAGACTGATCATTTCTTTGTCAGTGGGCAAACGTACAAAATCAGCAGGGGATCAAATACTTTTTTCCCTCACTGTAACTGGAATGTTTATCAGACTGCCACACTGATTAGTCACAGATTAATCACATTTCCAAACACTTCCGCCCAAATACGCAAAGAGTCTGGTGGACCAATGCGTCAAACTTGGCCTTTGTTAGCCAATACAGAGAAACTCCCGGCGCATAGGCATTGGCTTAATCGGCTTAATCTACCAACCAATCATCTCCCACAACACCATCCCCCTAACCCTCCCCTGTACACTAGCACATCACAAGCACAGAGCCACTCCTCACAGTCGTGTGATTCGTTAAAAATAAATGATGGCAAATACTTTACTCAGTAGGTCACTCCTATAGAATTCTATGGTCACTCCCACTAAGGCCAACTTTGAGTGGTTGATATACCAAGCTTATATGCACTTTGCGCAATAGCCTCGGGACAAGGTTAGCCACAGATTAATCAATTTCAAGGAAAGAGTGTTGCAGCACGATAGCCCGATCAGGCTCGATAGACCATGTAAAAACTGTTTTGGGTTGGTTGGTCAAGGACTGTATTTTGAGGTTGGCTTGCTGGTGGTTTGGGTGTGGACTACCCTGGAGATTAGTCTATAAGAACACAGGAGATGGAGGTACAGTTGAATTTCTAAAACACATCCGAAGGTGAAAGGTAAGGAAATGAACTTGCACCAACAAGCCTCAGGTGAGCCAATTTCAAGGGAAGGGTGTGGCAATATCTAGGGAAGGGTGTGACAATATCAAGGGAAGGATGTGGCAATATCAAGGGAAGGGTGTGGCAATATCAAGGGACGAGTATGGCAATATCAAGGGAAGGGTGTGGCAATATTTTTTTAGTTTTTACAGTTTAGTCATTTAGCAGACGCTCTTATCCAGAGCGACTTACAGTTAGCGAGTGCATACATTTTTTCATAATGGCACCCTGTGGGAATCGAATCCACAACCCTGGCGTTGCAAGCGCCATGCTCTACCAACTGAGCTACAGGAGGCCAATATCAAGGGAAGGGTGTGGCAATATCAAGGGGAAGAATATGGCTGAAGTTCCCCCTCTGCTGCAGGAACTGGGTGGGGATTGGGTAATGGGAAAGTCAGTCAAGGGCAACAAGACTATGAACTGAGTGTTCTAATATGCTTACGGCAGTTTCAAATATCAAGAGTTACAAAGAAACCTCAAAACAACAGGAATTGGAGGTTTTGGCCAGTGTGGGATTTGGTTTTCATTTTCTTTAGTGATATGATAAAGTGATATCTTGGAGTTGTGTCATGTCAGACTAGGATCAGACAGGATTATATTGATGATCTAAGAGACTTGTGAGTCAGAGAGGGCTTGTGTCGCTTACAACCCACACAATCTTGACTTTCACTGGCTCCGTATCTGCTTGGGTGGGTCTTCGTTTGCCTTGGCCTCCATCTCAAACAAAAATAAATGAATCATGTCCCTGTCGTTGCTATTCTTCCAATTTCCACCTTTAGTTAATCATCAGCATTTCCTTAATGATTCAAATCAAATGAACAATTCTCTGTTGACATCCTTCTTTTCCTACTTCTCTCTCTCCCACTCAATCCCTTTCTCTCTCTCTCTCTCTCTCTCTCTCTCTCCTCTCTCTCTCTCTCTCTCTCTCTCTCTCTCTCTCTCTCTCTCTCTCTTTCTTTTTATTTATTTCACTCTCTTTCCCCCTCTCTCTCCCTCTAACTATCCTGCTCCCTCTGGCTCTTCCGCTCGCCCTCATCCCTTTCTCTCTCCCCTGTCGCCACTGTCCCGACCCCTCTCTTCTTCTCCAGCTCTTCATCATTGACCACAACCAGGTGGACTGGCGCATCGCCATGACAAGCCGCAGGGTGCTGGGCATCTCCCTGGAACTGCTGGTCTGTGCCATCCACCCTGTGGGCACCTACTGGGAGGTGGGCGTCCCCGCGCCCATCGCCAGGGAGGGGGTAGAGGTCAACTCGTCCAACTCGGCGCCGCTGTGTGTGTCCTCCCGCCACGGGGAGGCGCTGTTGGACACAGAGCTGCTGCTGTCGGTGCTGATGTTCCTCAGGCTGTACCTGGTCCACAGGACGATCCTACTGCACAGCAAGGTGCTGCTCAGTGCCTCCTATAGGAGTATCGGCTCGCTCAACAACATCAACTTCACGTTCCGCTTCGTGCTCAAGGTGCTGATGAACAAGTACCCAGCGCGCACGCTGATGGGTTTCATCTTCTTGTTCTGGCTCATCGCCTCCTGGATGCTCACGCTGTGTGAGAGGTAGGGAGGAGGGGTGCGCACATGCAGGCACACACACACACTCATGCTCACACTCATGCTCACACGCGCACACACACACACACACACACACACACACACACACACACAACTCATGCATGACTCACGCACACTCTCCTGTTTGAGATACACAGGCACAGGCGTCTGTGTGATAAACAGGAAAAGGGGACACACAGTGAGAGAAGAAAACAGTTTGCCAAAATTCTAAATATAACACATTACTACTGCCAGCACAGAAACATGCACACACACACACACACCCCTACACAGTTTATTACAAACAGACTGGGGCAATCAATTGCTCACTCTACTTCAAATATTGATGGTCAATTTGAGTTCCCCATTCGGAAAGTCTAATAACAGATTCAATGTTGATCGTTTTCTGTTGAATTACTCTGACAAATTTCTCTTCATTGTGAGCCAACACATACCATCCTAGGCCTCTGAAGTCTGCTCGTGACCAATGTGAGGTCATTTGTTTAGGCTGAACCTACAATGGGATAGGATTCTTAGATCTCAGTTACATAGAGAAAATCAAACGTGTTAATTTATCAAGCTGCATGTTAAACAAACTGCGACGTTTTGGTTATATGATCTGATGATTGACAGATTGTAAGACTTCTGAGTAACACCTGACAGGTATAATGCATCATAACTTCCCTGTAGTCAATAGAAGACTTGAGATGAACACTGAATTGGAATGGTCTTGAAAAAGATTCTGAGAAAACAACAACTTAGAAAAGTCAACCCATTTTTGAGGCAGTTTCACCATCTGTCCAGACAATTCAACTTCCATGTTCTCTTTCCTGGAATTGAAACAGAAACAGGACCTTCCCTGACCCCACAGCCACTGATAGATAAATAGATAATCACAGTCTAACTGTTACTAGAACGCTTGGATCTTTGGGTGCCCATAAAGATTCTAAATCTCAAACCAGATTTGCCAACTTAATATATCTCTGGTTTTGTCTTACCCATTGGTCTGATCTTGTTATTAATGCAATATGTCTATATAATATCTATAAAATCTATGAATATCTTCATGTAAGACATATGTATCTATGTATGTAGTGAGTGACCCCAGGGTGTGTTGCCCTCTACAGGCAGACACAGGAGGAGACTGGTCGTATGGACACGGCTCTCTGGCTCATTGCCATCACCTTCCTCACCGTGGGATACGGGGACGTGTCCCCCAAAACCAGCTGTGGCAAAGTGGTGTGCCTCTTCACCGGAGTCATGGTAACTATATGGGGTGGGGGGAATGGAGGGATAGGGGAAATAACGTTTCTAGCCTGAGTGTCAAAGCATGATAAAGCCTGTATGTTAAAGGTTACAATGGCTTTTTAAAGCAGACCATTACTGTAAAGTAGGCAGGCTAAATAACATACTGTGCATGTACTGTACATGGCTTCATGTCTCTGCAGGTGTACAGATGTATGATCTAAATTTGAGCCAGTTTGCTACAGCAGGGAAATAATCCTGCAGCAACAGGAAATGTGAATTACTATATGGACTATAATTAATTAATATTTTTGTAGGGTTGATACTGCGATGGGTGATTTGAAGGAGTCAGGCGCAGGAGGATAAATCACAGAATACAGAGTTTATTCCGGAATACAGAGTTACGCAGGATAGTGTCAAACAGTCCAGTGCGCAAAACAGGCCCACTGGAACAAAACAGGCACACAGGGAAAATATACCCCGGCAATACAAAATACGCGTAGCTCAACCGAGCTACTCACTCCTCACATAAACAATCACCCACAAGGACAAGGGGGCAGAGGGAACACTTATACATGTACTAATGAGGGGAATTGAACCAGGTGTGTGTAATAGACAAGACAAAACAAATGGAATGATGAGATGTGATGCGGCAGTGGCTAAAAGGCTGGTGACGACGAACGCCGAAGCCTGCCCAACAAGGAGAGGAGGCAGCTTCGGAGGAAGTCGTGACAGTACCCCCCCCCTTGATGCGCAGCTTCAGCAGCGCGCCGACTCTGGCCTCGGGGACGGCCAGGAGGACGCGGAGCGGAGCGAGCCGGATGGTGACAGTGGAAATCCCGCAACAGGGAGGGATCGAGGATATCCCTCACCGGGACCCAGCACCGTTCCTCCGGACCGTACCCCTCCCACTCCACGAGGTACTGAAGGCCCCCCAAACAACGCCTCGAATCCAGGATGGAACGGACAGAGTACGCCGGAGCCCCTTCGATGTCCAGAGGAGGTGGAGGGACCCCCCGCACCTCAGACTCCTGGAGCGGACCAGCCACCACCGGCCTGAGGAGAGACACATGAAACGAGGGGTTAATACGGTAATCATGGGGAAGTAATAACCTATAAGTAACCTCATTGATCCTCCTCAGGACTTTGAACGGCCCCACAAACCGCAGGCTCAGCTTCCGGCAGGGCAGGCGGAGGGGCAGATTATGGGTCGAGAGCCAGACCCGACCACCCGGTACACTGCGTCCGTAATGGGTCCGCGGTCAAACGACCACCCCTCATCACTGTCAAACGCTCCCTAAAACACTTTAGCGAGCAGGCCTTTCTAATTGACCTGGCCCAGGTATCCTGGATGGATATTGACCTCATTCCATCAGTAGAGGATGCCTGGTTGTTCTTTAAAAGTGCTTTCCTCTCAATCTTAAATAAGCATGCCCCATTCAAAAAACAGAACTAAGAACAGATATAGCCCCTGGTTCTCCTCAGACTTGACTGCCCTTGACCAGCACAAAAACATCCTGTGGCGTACTGCATTAGCATCGAACAGCCTCCGCGATATGCCTACTTTTCAGGGAAGTCAGAAACCAATATACACAATCAGTTAGGAAAGCAAAGGCTAGCTTTTTCAAACAGAAATGTGCATCCTGTAGCACTAACTCCAAAAAGTTGTGGGACACTGTAAAGTCCATGGAGAATAAGAGCACCTCCTCCCAACTGCCCACTGCACTGAGGCTAGGAAACACTGTCACCACCGATAAATCTACAATAATCAAGAATTTCAACAAGCATTTTGCTGTGGCTGGCCATGCTTTCCACCTGGCTACCAGTACCCCGGCCACCAGCTCTGCACCCGCCGCTGCAACTTGCCCATGCCCCCCCGCTTCTCCTTCACAAAAATTCAGACAGCTGATGTTCTGAAAGAGCTGAAAAATCTGGACCCCTACAAATTAGCTGGGCTAGACAATCTGGACCCTTTCTTTCTAAAATTTGCAGCCGAAATTGTCGCAACCCCTATTGCTAGCCTGTTCAACCTCTCTTTCATAACGTCTGAGATCCCCAGAGATTGGAAAGCTCCCGCGGTCATCCCCCTCTTCAAAGGGGGTGACACTCTAGATCCAAACTGTTACAGACCTATATCCATCCTGCCCTGCCCTTCGAAAGTATTTGAAAGCCAAGTTAACAAACAGATCCCCGACCATTTCGAATCCCACCGTACCTTCTCCGCTATGCAATCCGGTTTCCGAGCTGGTCATGGGTGCACCTCAGCCACGCTCAAGGTCCTAAACGATATAATAACCGCGATCGATAAAAGACAGTACTGCGCAGCCGTCTTCATCAACCTGGCCAAGGCTTTCGACTCTGTCAACCACCGCATTCTTATTGGCAGACTAAATAGCCTTGGTTTCTCAAATGACTGCCTCGCCTGGTTCACCAACTACTTCTCAGATAGAGTTCAATGTGTCAAATCGGAGGGCCTGTTGTCTGGACCTCTGGCAGTCTCTATGGGGGTGCCACAGGGTTCAATTCTTGGGCCGACTCTATTCTCTGTGTATATCAATGATGTTGCTCTTGCTGCTGGTGACGCTCAGATCCACCTCTATGCGGACGACACCATTTTGTATACATCTGGCCCTTCATTGGACACTGTGTTAACAAACCTCCAAACGAGCTTCAACACCATACAACACTCTTTCAGTAGCCTCCAACTGCGCTTAAACACTAGTAAAACTAAATGCATGCTCTTCAACCGAACGCTGCTTGCACCTGCCCACCCGACTAGAATCACTACTCTCGGCGGGTCTGACCTAGAGTATTTGGACAACTACAAATACCAAGGTGTCTGGTTAGACTGTAAACTCTCCTTCCAGACTCACATTAAGCATCTCCAATCAAAAGTTAGATCTAGAATCGGATTCCTATTTCGCAACAAAGCCTCCTTCACTCATGCTGCCAAACATGCCCTCGTAAAACTGACTATCCTACCGATCCTTGACTTCGGCGATGTCATTTACAAAATAGCCTCCAACACTCTACTCAGCAAATTGGATGTAGTCTATCACAGTGCCATCCGTTTTGTCAACAAAGCCCCATATACTACCCACCATTGTGACCTGTACGCTCTTGTTGGCTGGCCCTCACTACATATTCGTCGCCAAACCCACTGGCTCCAGGTCATCTATAAATCACTGCTAGGCAAATCCCCGCCTTATCTTAGTTCACTGGTCACCATAGAAACACCCACCCGTAGTATGCGCTCTAGAAGTTATATCTCATTGGTCATCCCCAAAGCCAACACCTCCTTTGAACGCCATTCCTTCCAGTTCTATGCTGCCAATGACTGGAACGAACTGCAAAAATCTCTGAAGCTGGAGACTCTTATCTCCCTCACTAACTTTAAGCATCAGTTGTCAGAGCAGCTTACCGATCTTTGGACCTGTACACAGCCATTCTGAAATTAGCCCAACTACCTCATCCCCATTTTGTTATTTATTTTGCTAATTTGCACCCCAGTATCTCTATTTGCACATCATCTTTTGCACATCTATCATTCCAGTGTTAATACGAAATTGTAACTATTTTGCACTATGGCCTATTTATTGCCTTACCTCCATAACTTACTACATTCGCACACACTGTATATTTTCTGTTGTATTTTTGACTTTATGTTTTGTTTACCCCATATGTAACTCTGTGTTGTTGTTTTTATCGCACTGCATTGCTTTATCTTGGCCAGGTCGCAGTTGTAAATGAGGACTTGTTCTCAACTGGCTTACCTGGTTAAATAAAGGTTAAAAAAAAAAAGAAATACAAAAAAGACCGGGGCCATCAGTTTGTCCACTGCCACATGCATCTTCTTCAGGTTTCTGGGACAGAACTCATCTCAACTAGTTTTCTTCTGCAGGAACACTGGAGAACAGAAGAATAACAATACATTTAGAGACCACTAAGCCGTCTAAAGTGTGTGTGTTTGTGTGTGTGTGTGTGTCTGTGTGTGTTGTGTTGGTTTTATGGGTCATTAACTATTTGTCAACACTGAACTGAGTCTATTTTGTTTGGATGCTACGGTCCAGCAAAACAATCTTGGCACTCCACCCCTTTGGTAAAAGATTAGGCCACTATGTAAAATCTACTTTAGACATCAATCAAATGGATACACTCACTGACAAGTCATCTAATAGTAAAGTTTGAATTTAGAATAGAGAAAAGCATACAACATAGTCTCACTCTCATAAAAGCTCTTGTGACCAAAATAACTGGACGGTGGTCATCTGACAAACAGTGAAACATTTATTTGACACGGAATTCAGAAGAAGAAGGAACCTCCATCATGTGAAGTCAAATCACAACTAAGAAACACCGGAAAAGTTAACAAAAAACTGCTTGAATTTGACAAAAAAAAAAATCTGAATGACAGCTCCTTCTCCATTATAGCACTTAGAAACTTTGACGTCCTCTGCCTGCTTCCCCATGTCTACTTTCATTGTTGTTCATCCATGTTGTTTGACAATATGTCTCCTAGCCTTCCTGTTAATAACAAGTGGAGTGAGGTGTGGGGTTGCCTGACCTTTTTCACGGGAGATCCTAACAAATAGGAAACTAGGAAGCTGAGACGTGTGAATGTGTGAGTCATTATCAGGCAGCAGGACTTCATAATACTGTGTGTGTGTGTCCGTGTCCGTGTGCGTGTGCGTGTGCGTGTGTGTGTGTGTGTGTGTGTGTGTGTGTGTGTGGGAGAGAGAGAGTATGCCTGTAAAGGTGGAGGGGTTACATTTCCCACAGGGGGGACGTGTGTGCCCAGTAGATCAGTAGATCAGACGGTCACAGACAAGAGCAGGCACGTACTGCAGCCCAGCTGGACACTGAGGTGGAGATGGCTCTGTGCGTAATGCCTGCTCTATATCCGTGTCCATCGCCCATACTACCGGCGCCACAATGCAGGAGGCTGGGAGTATGGGGGTGTTGTCTCTGGGCCTCTCCTCTGTGTCGTACAGCCGTGACAGTGTGTGTGCCTTCACGTTCTTCGTACCCGGGATGTATGATAGAGTGAAATCAAACCTGGCCCACCTGGCCTGGCGAGGGTTCAGCCTCCTCGCTGCCCGGATGTACTCCAGGTTACGGTGGTCCGTCCAGACGAGGAAAGGGTGTTTTGCCCCTTCGAGCAAGTGCCTCCATACGGTCAGGGCTTGGACAACAGCCAACAGCTCCCGATCACCAACGTCGTAGTTCTGCTCCGCCGGGCTGAGCTTCTTGGAGAAGAAGGCACAGGGGCGGAGCTTAGGTGGCGTGCCCGAGCGTTGAGATAGGATAGCGCCTATCCCTACTTCGGACGCATCCACCTCCACTACGAACG